ATCAGACCAGTTAAATTCAAGCAATCGGATAGGTAAAAAACCCAGAATTGGGGTTTGTAGATTAAAAAAAAAATGAATTTATTAGTTGGATTTCTAAACGGATATAGAATGTCGCTTCAATTTTTATGGAGACGTTTTTTTCGTTTCTAATTAATTCTTGCTTCCCTCTGTCTAATATCTAAAAGTTGAAGCATGCCTTTATACGAGAATTGTTATATTCAAATGTAATGACTGCAGATGCTCCATTGTTGATGAATTCCCAGCTTAACGATTTTCCTTTGAGCAACATGGGGTTTGCATATTTGAGGTTTGTAGATTTGGGTTGGGTTGGGTTGGGTGGGGTGGTTTTTAATTTTAATGATTTGATTTTAGTTATTTTATTATAAAAAATGTGAAGTTACCATTTTAATCTTTTAAAATTAGTTAAAATTATTGTCAAAATCAATTATTTGGTCAACTAATGGTCAAATTAATAGAAATCATCCATTTGGATTTCAGTTGCGACAGTTTGACAGGTTTAGTATCGTGGGTGGCACAAATGAAAGGTTTGGACAAAGTCTGTTACTAAATGAAAGGTTTGGTACTGATGCTGCAATTATCCCTAGATTTTATTATTATGCTCTTCGAGAAAAAAAAAATCTAACTAGAATATTAATGAGAATTATAATGAGTTACTTCGAGAGCATGTTATATTTTACTTTTATTTTTACTTTTTCAAGAGTAATATGTCAGTATTTTTCTGAATTAGTATTAAAAATTATAATTTATGCTCTTTAGTAGCAAGAAATATTCTTCTGAAATATTACTTATAATTTGTGCTTTTACCCAAAATTCGATCAATATTCTTCTACAATATTAAAATTATAATATCATGCTCTTTTGGAGCAATTAATATTCTTCTAGAATATTAACAAAGTTGGCTACTTCAAGAACACTGACAAATTATTATTTAAAAACATTAACTCTTTGGGAGTATGTTTTACAGCAGAATATTAATTATTTGCAGAGTTGTGCTTTTTCGGAAGCAATAACATGATCAATTTAAAGTTTATAAAAGAATATAAAAAATATTTAATCACGTTGTGATATAACCATAACAAACTATATATATTAATGCTATAAAATAATATTGAATCAATTTATATAATCACATATTTTTTCCATACAAATATAATAATCTACATCATTAGTTTCATCATATAATCACAAGATAATGTTTACTTTAATCTAATATGCAATTAAAACCACTGTAAAATATTACTTTTAACAATAGACGTGCATAATGAGATGTAAAGAAATTCAATGGAATATGCATCCCAACACTTACAGATTAATTTTTCTATACAAACCCCATGCAACTAAATTTTAATGGAGGAAAAAAAATGTCATTTTCCAAGACATCAATGCAAATTCCGTCATAATATTCAAGTAAACGACAAACATAGGAGATTTTCAAAATTAAGTGCAATATATGAAGTATTCTAATTTAGTGCAAAATTAGAAATTTGGGTGCAGATACGTGTAATTTAAAAAAAAAAAATCATAATGTGAAATTGGGTAAAAACTTTAGTGCAGAGAGTTTTGAACGCTAATTTTTTTTCTAAGAAAAAAATAGTAATTACATAAAAACATTCATACTAATAACAAGTTATAAAATTAAAGAAATAAAATAGAAATATAGAGAATAAAAAATATAGAGAAAATTAGAAAAACAAAACTCATGTGTGTATTTTATTGATAATCAAAACTCGTATTTATTGGGTTTAAAATGAGAGTTACAGTTTAAATGAAATAGACACTCTAAACTAGATAAGAATTATCTATACATGATGATAAGACTACAAAATCATCGATATTTATCTTATAGCTTTACAATAGATTATACATTTTTAGTTTATTGCATTATTTCATTTTATGGACATTTAACCAAACAAAAACCTTATTTAAATAAAAAAAAATCATAGTAATACAACACATTATGTATTATACTAAAAACGACCCCTAATCCTGCACCACAATATTAAGGAAAATTAGGAAATTTCAAAGTCATGTCAATTTCAAGAAGAAAAAGCAATAATTTAGCCCTATTTTTGGAATGCCTTGTAGTCGATAGCATCAGAAAATGTTGGAATTTGGGTGTGACCCGAATTCTTTTGTTGAAATATTTGAAGTAATTGAAAAATTCTAATTGAAGCGTACGTCATGAAGAATTCAAGTTTGGAATGCTACTGGAGTCCTATGTCAAGTTATGAAAATCAAATTTCAATGATAATTAGGAATTTGAGTTGAAGGAGGACTTTTGGATGACAAAAGACACTTTTTGAAGCATTAACCCGAAAGACGGGCGCTAAAATGGCGCCACATTAATTTGGGGCAGAACCCCGGGTGCATAGGCGTTGGGGCCCGGGTCGGGCTCGCAGCGAGTTTCCCTGCCCGAATGTGTGTTTTTCGCGTTATTTCTTCTCCTACTTCGTTTTTGACTCAAGTTTTGGCATCCTACTTTATCAACAACTCTACCAAGAGGTCTTGGACGTCCCATACATGTTTCCTATAAACTAGGTTCTTCTATACAATTTTATAATGTGAGATTTATGATTACTAGTTTTTAGAATCACTGTAATATTTTTCTCTTTTCTCCATTACTCTTGATACAATAAAATCTTATAATTTCTCTGCCATATTCTTGTCTTCTTTTATTTTTTTGTTATTGATCAAATACTTTATTACTTTGTCATACAACTTCAACAACTCAATCCGGTGATTGATGTCACAACAGGTGGTATTAATCCTAATAGAAAATTTTTAATTTACATATTACATGAGATTTATGTGAGTTTTTTTAATAATGTATTAATTTATTAATTTAGTGAATTATTAATTTAGCATGTTATTCTCAAGTTAAAGCCAGTCAAAAATATTATTTAATAGAGAATATTAATTTATTAGGTATTATATTGTCTAGTTTCCATTATGTAATTATGATTTTAAAATTTATTTTTTTTATTGAAAAGTTTGAAAAAAATGTATAAAATTCCTATAAATCTATTTTAGATATTTGGTAGATATTATTTTAATTATTAAATGATTTTAGATTCATTAAAAATTAAAAATAATATATAAATAATTTTTTTTTCCTTAGTCCTTATCTTGTTCGAAACTTGACTCCACACATTGCCATACATTAAGCTTTTTAAAATATTAAACATGCTCTTTGCAAGATATTATTGGACCTTGTCAAAGATCATAATTCTAAGAGAAGTCATTATATTTTGATATTGTCGATGTGACACTAACTTTAGAATTCATTATTCTTTTTCAACTTATTTGGGCTCTTTTTTAAACTTTAATACCCTAAGAGGTGAACCATTCTGACTATTTTTTTAAACTTTCATGTATAAAGTATTTATTATATTTTGAATAGAAATCTCAAATCTTGGAACTACATAGGTATGGTCAGGCTTCGAACACGTGTTTTACTCCCTGGCTACTAATTCTATCAATCAAGAAGATGAAGATGGGATTATTTTCTATTAAATTAATCAACAACTAAATAATTTTTAAATATATAATCATAGTTTGGAACTTGTGTTTTCCAACCCTATTTCATGTATTTTATATTTTAAGGTTCAAAGATTCCATACAAACATTTTAATAAACAAAATGGTGGGCCCAACATCTTTATATTCAATAGATGCTTAAAAAAATTATCTTCTAAGCACGCTCAGACATGAATATTTATGTGAGTAGTAAATTAACGTAATCCTGAGAATTTTAGCCCTTTAACTAGAATAGACAAATTTGACGTGTGGACCAAAGTTAAAACAATATGCACCGTCTAAGTGTAAAGAAAGAAAAGGGGAGAGATAAAATTGAACGTGACACTACTACTGGTACAAACTTTATACTACAAAGAAAAGCACAGAATATGAATGGATGCCAATTGATTGCCATTATAGTAGCAGTGTTTTTTTTTTTTTTTTTTATATGAGTATGTTATGAATTGTATGAAATGTGTGTATAAAAATAATGAATTTTATTTAAATTTGTATCTCACCAGGTGAGTAAAAGAGAGAGTGACAGACCGTGAGTATGAAGGAGAGCGGGTCAAATAAAGAATATCTGACTAACAGGGATGTGCTGTGGACCATAGTTTTCACTTTGCTCTTGCTTGACCGCGTTCTACAACAATTTATTTTTTAATGATATACTTTTCAATAAAATAATTTTATATATAAATTTAAATATTTTTTTCTATTTTTCAATCATATATTTTTCGAAAAAATTTCGATCCTTAACATCACAAAACCCAAGTTTTTACACAAGTACCTACAGATTTGCAGGATGATTCCTGCATCCCACCAAAGTTACATCCCATCACCTCTCTCTCTCTCTCTCTCACACACACGTTTTAGGCTTTGAGTGGCATCATAGATGGTAAGAATGCAAAGGTCAGGCAATAATGGGACAGTGGACCTTTGTGCAGGCTATGGAAGAAAACCCAAATGAGCTTGTCGGCTGTTTTCTAGTGCAAGTCTCTTATCACTATCACTCATCTTAAGTGTGCACGCAGACACAGTAACCAAACCAACCCATTTGGTTTAATGTTTAACTGAGGGCTGTTGGGAGACACAAACTTCTCCTAAATTTCTTTCGCACTTCTATTTAGGTTTAGAAGTTTCCGTACAACCTAATTTTTCTCTTTTCATTACTCTAAGAATCAGTTAGTTTGCAGCCAAGACTTCCCACCTTAATTAGTCTTGTGTTCAGTTTTAGTTTTAGTTCTCAAGATTCTAAGATTTCTTGAAATTAAGCTATTTGGGTCGATTTTTCATAGTTTAGGGATATGGAGTGGTGGATTTGGCACCCAAAAAATGTTCAAATAGAAAGAAATGGAAGATCAACTCTAAGATTACTAGGTGGAACATCAGAATTTGATGATAATGGTTCCTAGAAAGGAAGGAGTAAGAGGAGAATTGATTACTTTGAGTAAATAGTTTCTTATGGAACGTAGTGTTCAAGAAAGGGCTATAGGGATGCCAAATTCTGTGAGCTATAATCCACCACAGTTCAACCAAGAATCACCAGTTAAGTTGCCTCTTGCCCCTATAATTTCCACTCCACAAGATAGGAGGGGAAATCCAACGGTTTCAACCCGCCGCGGAAGTGCTATTTTCAGCCCTACACAAACCCTAGATCAGCATCAGCTCAATTCACTACCGCCAGCACCACAGCCGTCGATTGTACGGAAAGATTCAACCCCAGATCCAGATCTAGCGATCATGGCCGGTGCAGAAACCGGTGATGCTTCGAATTCGAAGGCAGATCCACCCCCACAGCCTCACGATCCACCAGAAACATCAACCGCCACTTCTGATAGTATTAAATATAGAGAATGCCTAAAGAATTATGCTGCAAGTGTAGGAGGTCATGTTTTAGATGGATGTGGAGAATTCATGCCTAGTGGAGATGAGGGCACCCCGGAAGCCTTAAGATGTGCAGCTTGTGATTGCCACCGGAGTTTCCACCGAAGAGAAGCCGATGGAGAGCCACAAACAGGCACATCTCACTACTATACATACAATCCCAACTCCAGCAATAACAACAGCCACCGGAACCTGGTAGTTCACAGCCAACAGCAACCTACAATGCCTCCTTGGCAGCAGCAGCAGCATTTTACCGCCACTCCTCCAAGTGGCCCTACGTTGCCTACCATGGTGGCGGTCGGCAGAAACAGCGGTGGAGCCGGGGCAGAGTCATCCAGTGAAGATTTAAACATGTTTCGGTGCATTGCTAGGGGACATGAAGTTGTGCAGCCATCATTTTCGGGGTCCAAGAAGAGATTTCGGACGAAATTCAGTCAAGTGCAGAAAGATAGGATGCATGAATTTGCTACAAGACTGGGGTGGAAAATTCAGAAACAAGATGAACAAGAACTGCAGCAGTTCTGTAGTGAAATGGGAGTGAAGAGGCAGGTTTTCAAGGTGTGGATGCACAACAACAAACAAGCCATGAAGAAGAGACAAATGTAAGGCATGAATCAAACACCATTTGAATTTTTGAGATACGGGTGTAGATTATTACCATTTTTAGATAGTTAAACATCATAATTAACGCAGAAAAAAAATGATTATAGATAGCTAATCACCTTGATGATTTCCATTTTCCTCTCTTGCAAGTCATGATCTAGTTAATTAATTCATGTTTAATGTTCTCAATTCTTTTCTTTTAAACATGTAGAACTTGTATATATTGGAAATTTCGTTTGTTCTTCATAAAACTGGCTTGTTAACTGAAAAGTAAAACAGATTAATTTCTAGATTAAAGGAGAGATCATCATCAAAACAATTTAATGCAAAACATATACTTCAAGTTCATAAATGTAATTACTTATATTCTCGAGTTTATGAAGTTCAATTTTGTACCTCTTTCCTGCTAAAATTTACTTGTAGTTGTGAACCAACCCTTCCAAGTTTTCACCCCCATCTAATATTATTGCAAGACTATTTCCTCTTAAAAAATAATGAATTTAAACTTTTTTATTTTCCAGTTTAGATTTTCCATCCAAAAAAAAAAATTGGATATTGAAATGTTATTGAAATTGTATTCCCAAACAAATACTATTCACAAGTTAAAACTGTTCTACACTTATAAATATGAGATATGATGATATGATAGTCAAGAGGATTTATTCCCAGTAATTAAATGCAATCAGAAGTTTGTTCAACATTAAGCCCAGGATTAAAATCAGATTTTTAATAATTTTAATAAAAACTGATGAAATGTGTAGTTGAAAAGTTGCGGAATTCATAAAATATATGGTTAAAATTAATTGTTGATTTTGACTTAAATTAAAATTTAGTACCAAATAGGGGTCTTGACGTTCACTGCAGGAGAAAGTTTGAAACATATAGTAAGATTTTAGTATCTTTTCTCCCATATAATCTATCTAGTAATTTTTCCTATCAAGCGTGCTTTACGTGTTTCATTGTTATGCTTGGAGGACAATGCAAAGTTCTTAAAAGGATAAGTATGCCAGCAAATGAATGGCTTATAACCTACTTTGCAGTACTATATGGCGTCTTTCCATTCATTTTCTGGAGCCTCAGGCCCCCCCCAGCAGTCTGCAAAGAGAGACACTTTATTGCCCTTCGGTGCCTCCATGTACATGCATGAATGTTTGGTACACAACACTAAAAAACGTTTTGTAAGTGCGCCGAACCTGATTTTAAACTTTCAGCCAGGCAAGTTTAGAGGATAAGAGTGATTATAAATGCATCCATGACAGCATATACTGTATATTTGATACACTCTGTTAAATAATACTTCCATTGTCCTATTTATATAGACCGACTTCCTTATTTTCATGTCTCATTGATATAGTTTTGTTTCTTTATTGAAAAAATAGTTATTTCGTTCGTTTATTAATATATTCTTATTTAATTTGCCTGATTATAACCAATTTTTTCCATTTAATCTTGAAATTGTATAGATTTTAATTTACATATTTATTGGAATAATCCAAAAAGATACACTGAGTTCTCGAAGGGTGTAAAATTTAAGTTGTTCATAGTATTTAATTTGCCTAGTTATCACCATTATTTTTAACAATCATGTTACATTTAAATTATTTTTGACATCATGGTTGAAACATTATCAAATGACTTAAAATTGTTTTTTTAATAACATTAAAAGAAGTTTCTTAATCCGTGTGAAAAAATAAAATCCATCTATATAATGTTGAGACCCTTTGAACCCACGTGTTGTGAAAAATCTGAAGAGATTAATGGAGCAATATGAAGTATTGATCGCTCACCAAATAAGAACAAGATTTAAAGTAAAGAAAAAAAATTGGCAGATGAATCGATATTTTATTAAACAACAAATAGAGAGAATACAATTCCAGCAATTTCTGCTAAAAAAAATGGATGAAGAGTCTACTGTTTATAGGGAATAAATCCAAACCCAAGATGCAAATCACGTGAAATAAAGAAAACAATATATTCCCAATAAAATACGAGAAATAGATGAAATAATATTTTTTCAAATACGTGCAAAGAAAGAAAAATATATTTCCAAAAATTTCAACATAATTTGGATCACAAAATCCAACAATATCCACCTTGACACAAATTTCACTGCAACGAACGAAACTCCAAAATTTCTCCACTTGAAAAAATAAGTCCGACTGCATCATAATAAATCGATCTCTTCATTAAGTACAAAAACTCTCCACCTCATGAAAAACATCACTTTTGCCCGTGTCCACAAGCAACACTCGAACCCAATCCCGGGTTCCCAAAATTCCAACAAAAAATTCAACAAATACCAAACAGGGTCGAAGCATACCCTGTAGTAAAATCCATACCAAATTCTTGAACTGAAGGCCCCTTGCTAGAACTGTCACCTTCGAACACTCCGAAAGCACGATCACACAAATTTGAAACCCGATACCTATGCTCCATGAGTCCTCCCCTAGCAAATGACTCAGAGTCCAACAGGAAAGGTACTGTATTGAACAGATCTCTTCCACGGTACTAAACCTGTCCAGATGTCTCTTCACTGGTTCTGCACGTCCTTGCAGGATATACAATTGAGAACTCTTACGTCCTTCCAGCATAACACTATGACCCCTTTGGACATTCAAGACTCCACCTCCACAAGAGAATGTGTACCCATTAGAATCTAGGGTACTCATCGAGATGAGATTCTTCCTTAAGTCTGGAATATGCCGAACTTGGCCAGAACTCGAACTGTCACATCCAATAACTTCAATCTGACCCGACCGATTCCAGCAACCCTACAAGATTGATTGTTTCCCATGACAACTCCACATTGCTTCACCGTTTCATATGTTTCAAACCAGGCCCTATTGGGACACATATGAAACGAACACGCTGAATCCAGAATCTACTCCTCATCCAGCTTAGATTCTATGTCAGATACGGTTAGGGGTGGGCAAAACCCAAACAAACTCGCCTAAACCATCCAAACCGACCGGTTTGGGTCTTTTTTTTTTTTTATTTTATAGTTAATTGGGTTTTGGGCAAAAAAGGCGGGTCGGGTCGGGTTGGGTTGGGTCACGGGTTAATCCAAGAAAATCGATTTAACTTGACCCAACCCAACCCNTAAATTTCTTAATTATTAAATTTGTCGGTGAAAATGTTTTAGAACTTTTACACCTTAAAATCTTGACGAAGTTGTACTGAGTATCTATGATTATTCCAAGTTTATAATTTGTGGTTATGCTCTTAAAAAGTAGTTGTAGTGAATTTTTGATTAATCTTTCCCATTTCTTGTTAAGTTTTGATTTGAAACAAAAAGCAGTTTTAATTACAGGTACAAGATGCCTATATTTTATTTCTTTAGCATTTTTTGTTTATACAATTCATGTGGTTGATAACTTTTTATTGTCGAAATACACTTTATGATTTTTAATGTCCAAACCGACCAACCTAACTTAACCGGACCCAACCCGACCGAAACTTGATTGGGTTGTGTTGGAACACATAAATGGGTTTAGTTGGTTTGATTTTTGATCAAACCTATCATACTGGGTTGGTTTGGGTTGGGTAAAAAAACCGACCCAATCCAACCCACGCCCACCCCTAGATGTGGCCAACACCACATCTTCGCCATCCGAAAATATCTCGGCAATATTAGTATCGTCCGAATGATCAGATTGCCTCCCATGATTTGCAAATAAATTACATTTACCATGCAGCTTGTTGCAATCCTTCCTATTGTGTCCTTTTCTCTGCAGTAGAAGCAAACCTGAATGCTGAAATTCACCCTCGACCTACCCCTCGTCGATCACCGTACGAAACCAAAGCTTTCTCATCTTTAGCTCCAACGATATGCTTCATCTTCTCATTTGAAAATAAAGCGTCATAAGCATCGTTAATGGTGAGTGTGTTACAACTGTACAAGATCGTGTCCCTGAACGACGAATACGAAGCTGTCAATGAGCACAACAAGATCAAAGCCAGATCATCTTTATCATACTTAAGTTCTAACGTTTCCAAATCAGCAACGATTTCCTTGAACATGATCAGATGGTCCTCCAAAGAACTCATTTTTGCCATGCGATGAGAATAAAGCCTTTGCTTCAGATGCAACCTACTCGTCAATGTCTTCGTCATGCACAATTGCTCCAGTTTTAACCACAATGCAGTAGCTGATTTTCTCCTTAACCACGTCCTGAAGAATGTTATTAGAAAGATGAAGATAAATCATAGACAGCTCCTTCCGATCCTTTCGTTGCTTCTCTTCTATTGTCCAAGCTGTTGGCATTTTATCAAAACCCAACAGAGCATCGTCCAAATCTATCTGCGCCAGAATTGCTTACATCTTTATTTGCCACGGAGAAAACCTTNTCCACACAGATAACATTGTAGAGCGATCCAAAAGCGGAATGTCATACTTCATGGCAGCCATCGAAATTTCATATCTCAAATAAATTCAACAACCTGTAGCTCTGATACCACTTCTTGGGACCCTTTGAACCCACGTGTTGTGAAAAATTGAAAGAGAGTAATATGAAGTATTGATCGCTCACCAAATAAAAACAAGATTTAAAATAAAGAAAAGAAAAATTGACAGAGGAACTGATATTTTATTAAACAGCCAATGGAGAGAAAATACAATTTTAGCAATTTCTGCTCACAAAAAATTGAATGAAGAGTCTACTATTTGTAGAGAAAATATCCAAACTTAAGATGGAAACAAGATAAAAACAAATCACATGAAATAATTGAAACAATATTTTCCCAATATTTTCCAATAAAACACGGGAAATAAATGAATAATATTTTTTTCAAATAAGTGCAAAAGAAGGGAAAATATATTCCAAAAAATTTCAACCTAATTTGGGTCACAAAATCCATCGTATAAATGGGATTGAGGATATAGTTAATAAAAAATTAGCTTCTTCTCTTACTTTTCAATATTGTCCTGTGTTAAATAACGCTCCCTTTCCAAACATGTCAATAAAATTTTTAAGCAAAGACCGATTTTAGCAGCACTACAAGAATTACATACCCTCAAATTTAATTTTAGTTTTTGAGTGAGAAAATTTGCAGTAATGAAACGTACAATAGTCAAGATTTTAGTGTACTTTTATTTTTTTATCGTGTAAAAGATATCTATTCATTCCAAGGAGAAACCTACGAATGCATAGGACTTGCAAGCGAAAAGATGAAGAGGAAGAAATCTAAAAAAAAAAATCTAGCAGAAGGGAATTTATTGTATATTGAGGCAACCAAACAATGAAGGTCGATTTTTGTTCTCAAGAAACAAAAAGGAACACAGAAACATAAGCCGTAACATTGCCAAATGTTATGTCATTTACTACCATTGAAGTGCATACATAAAATTAAGAAAGACAATGTTGAAATACTGAAAGAGACCATGTCAAAACACTCGAACTACAAGCATTAATAACACCTATTGAAAAACAGCATTCTCATTGCAATCCCTGTACAATTTGAGGCAACGGCATGACATCAACACGTCGTTTGTAATAATTTTCTTTTTGTTAGGATTCGAAACATATTCCATATACGGCAATAATACAAATTTATATTGTTAGTACAATTGTTCACAGTTTCTTCTTACCCTAAATGAGGGCACCTAGTCTAGTGTAATACTGCAGAGTAATTTGAAAACTGAGAGAAAATGTTGTCTCCAGATATCAAAGTTATCAATCCTACAATACATAAGCACATATAGCAAACGACTTTAGCTATGACTGGATGAAACCTATTAAAAACACGATTTTAAGATGCATTACTTTTTATTAGCATGTGTTAAACCTTAAGATTAAACTTACAACTGAATTATTCAAAGAAAAACTTAAATGAGATAATCAACTAAAAGATCTAACCAAAATACAATATACTAAAATGATAGATGAAAAGCTACTCACCTGGCCAATTCCGACTATGCCACGGTGAAGTGTGGTCCGTAGTACGTGCTAGTAATTATTCATAAATCTGCTGTCGGTTCTCGTATTTTCTTCTATATCGCTTGCAGTTTTTGAAAATGTCTCCTTAGCAGCTTCATATTTCTCTTTGGCTTGATCAGTCATGGAATCAACACAAGTTTCCCGAAGCTTTGACTTGGCATCCTCATAGGTCTCAAAAGCTTTATCTTTTCCATGTGACATTGCATTTTCTGTAATCTCTTGGACATCATCAGCCTTATCAGAAACCATTCTTATGGTTTGACTAAATCCATAAGCATCCGACACTTTATCTTTCATAGACTCTCCAGCTTCCTGGGCCTTACCATATGCCCCGTACATGGCTTGATTTGTTTTATCAGAGGCAACAGTATAAGCACTGTAGGCATTATCTTTAGCCTTCTCCTTTGCATCACCGACTATATCGGAAGCCATGTTCATTGCTTGGCCTGCTTTATCAGAAGCGAAGGCATAAACATTTTGAGCTCTGTCTTTTGCTTCCTTTTTTCCATCCTTTCCCATATCCGAAGATGTATCCATGGTATTTTGCATCTTATTGGAGGTAAATTCATAGGCATTCTGTGCGTAATCTTTCAGAGAGTCTTTCGCATCATTAGCCATACCATAAGCCCGACCCCTTGCGGGACCCACATTGTTAGAAGCGAAGATGTAGGCATCATGAGTTTTATCTTTTGCCTCACTAGCCCAATCCGAAGCCATTTTATAGGCATTGTTTGCTCTGTCCTTCCCAATTTCTTTCGCATCATGAGCCATGTCAGATGCTCTATTCATGGCTTGACCAGCCTTTTCTGAAGCATAGTTCTTGGCATTACCTATTTGCTCGGATGTTGTTTCTACCACATTGTTGGCCTTCTCCGAAGCATACTTTGATGGTTCTGAAAAAGAAACATTCATTGTTGGAAATAATTATTTTAATTTCAATATCAAAAGGAAAGAAGTGCGAAAAATATTGAAAGAATCACCATATGCTGCTGAATTCAGTGTATCTGTGGTTTTTGAGGCAGCATACTTGACATTTTCTTTGATCGTTTGAGCTGCATTTTTTGCGCTATCTTCACTGGATCCAAATCCCCTGAAATCATCAATCATATGACTCAAGTGATGCTGACCAAAAGTCACTGAAATGGATTAATGCCTAAGTCTACAACCATTGTTTTCCTCCACCAGCCAACCAATTCAAGTACTGCAAAGCCAGGCAATTAAGTAGTAGATTTATGTGTGCTTTTGTTGATGTGTACATTAAGCCCATGTTTGGTGGGGATTAAAATCAAATTTTTAGTAGATTTTAATCAAAGTTAATGACGTGTGGTTGAAAAGTTGTGTCATATGAAAATGTGGTTAAAATTAATTGTTGACTTAGACTTAGATTAAAATCAAGATTTAATCCATACCAAACATGAGCTAAAACTAATTTAGAAGTGGTAACACACTCTCTGTAAAGATGAAATTGGAGTGAAAGCTCCCCTATTTTGTACTTGTGGTTTGAGAATGCAAAGAAATTATTGAAGTTTATATACATAAAAGCATATTAGTCAACAATAAAAGAGAATGTGAAATTGAGTTTTCATGCACTAAAAAATCCATTTTCATTTTTGCATACACCTGATTAAGTCTCAATTGCAGTCGAAAAATCACCCACTCTAAGCAATCAACGTGGCTTATTCTCTATCCGCAATCTCTCATATGCGATGGAGAGATTCTACTTGTCCGCTAAACTAAATTCTTAGAGAAATTTTTTAATTAATTTTCAAGTCGCTTCATTTTTTGTCTAAGTCGAATATTTTTTTATCGAACATAGAACAAGAAGTGTGTGCATCTCCCTATTAAATCCCCTGAACATTAGGCCACATCAGCATGTACAGTTGATCCAATCCACTTTACATCTCTGAATTATAGGCCGACAACAGCATATATGGAAGGAAATGATTGGTTGGGGTGCTCCAATTGGGGGTGGATATGCTTATGACATCATTGATAAAGTAACTCACAGCCAAACGAAAATGCAAAACGAGAAACGACACGACGCGTGAAAGCTTGATTATATTCAGGCAAAAATACAATAAACAATAAAGATAGTAAAGATAACAAATGCTCACTCTGACAATTTGTTCATAGCCCAATCAGCCCAGGAATCAGCCTTCTCTTTAACATCCTGTACCGTCTCGGAAGCCCCTTGCTTGGTCTTTTCCACTCGAACCTTCATATTCCCGGCAGCCAAATTCGCTCTTTCCGCCGAATCTTCACCCCAACACCACCCCACTGAAACTACCACCGCAATCCACACCACAAACAACGCCATCCTCTTACCCATTATCTTAAATGCAAATCTCGGAATAACTCTTCAAATTCAAATTACTGTAATAAATTTGGTTTCCCTATCGAATAGAAATTGCGGAAGTTATAGAGAATTGGGTGCAACGTGGCAGTTGTGTAGGAGTGCATGGAACGAGTATTTGTGCCATTTTGCCACGTACATTTTTGGCAAGAAAACCAATATTTTGGCGTATTTTACTGCGACGATTTTGAGGAGATGAGTTCTTACAGTTTTGCTGGCTTCTCTCATCGCCAACGCCAACGCCAAGTGCCCAATGCGGGGGGCCATTGAAAGCAGCCCTCCCTGGATTGTTGTAATTGCAAATTTGTAGACATGCTTGTAATAGTTTTTGAACTTCCAACATTAGTCATCTAAATTCTATTATGTTTAATTCGTTAACCTTAAGAACAATTAACATTCGCCACCTATAACTAGAATGTTGGCTAAAATGAATAGTTAGTTTTCGTGGATAAAATTGATTTGAGTGCCTATTAAGTAGGGGCATACGCAGACATTCTGAATTAGGGGCACAATCAACCCAGTACAAATTGAATACTTTCTTCTTGATTTTTGAATGCAGATTTATATTTAAAAAACACTTTTTCATTAATATTTTGATAATCATTTTTATCCATTTGATTTCGAATAGTCATTTTATTAATATTTTGTTTATCACAAGAAAATTCATATTTACATTTAAAATTTTTATAGGAAATTTCCATTTATACAGAAAACAAGCTTCTGTAAAATTGCCGGAACACTCACATGGGGCCCACCACCCCATGTGAGTAAAGTATTGAATAAAAAAATCACCCCCTTGCTGTGAGTGTTCTGTATCTGTTCTTGTAAGAATTCGCAGCATTCTTTAACATTAATTGCGGGTCAAGAAACTTATTTGAAAGGATGAATTCCATGATTTTTTGATGGTTGAATCACATTGCATTCCAAAACTCAAAAATATGCATTTCTTGTTCTCCTATGGTCCCAGTCCCGATCACAATGGAAGGAGATTATTATTAACAATCTAAGTGTCAATTTTTGTGAGATTTCATGTACAAAATATGGTTCTAACGACTTTCCAATTTTGGTGTAAATTTTCATACGAATTTTTCCTTCATTTTTCGTGCCATATTTTTCCTCCTTTTTCCAATGCACAATTATTGGAGGTTGTATGTGAGTTAAAGGTGATATATGGAGTTGCAAGTTTGAACTTCAAATTTAAACAACTCCCTACAACCCTTTTAATAACTTGCGGGTCGAGTCAACCCCACACGAGCTATCCACAATCGGTATTTTTTTTAACATCTCCCACTCATACATGACGGCTTGATCTGAACCACAAGGGACAATAAATGTTACACATTAGATTTTTCTCAAGATCTATCTCACAAAAAATTCATACGACAAATAGATTGTGCGACCATGGAGTAATATTAGAGTTCACAGTACTATAAACATATTAGGGATATATAGTAACTTTATTAGATGAACATTAAATCTCGCTATACCCCAAACTCATTTTCCAATATTAATTCAAGTATTTTCGATCCCTCGAATATTTATGGAATATACTATAACCTCACATCATATGATTGTATTCACAATTATGTTCTACACCCTAAATGGTTAAACACAATTATCCGGTCGGTAAATATAAATAAAAATGTTGGTCAGAATAGTTTTCCTTTCCTACTTGAATCCTTCAACTTTAAATCAACAGCTTTTCTAGACATGTCCCATCAAACTGAATCAATCATAGTTATTGGCAGCATACTAAAATAGCAACTCCGAAATAAAATCTCAAGAAACAATCAAAAGTCATAATGGTATATATGAGGTTATATAAATTTCAAGGTCTCACACAATAAGGAAGTAGTGATCCATTTACTGATTTATCCATTGTTGGTCGTAAAAGCACACGTGATATGAAACATGCGCTACGATATTTTCTCCCTTTCTTAGGTTGTATGTCATATTTTTTATAAACAAATAATATCGTACAGTGTTCTCCCATTCTTAGGGCGTATGTCATATCCTTTATAAACAAAAGACACCGTACAGATCCTAGTTCAGGTATTCCTCGATACCTAACTTTAGTTTTCCTTATATTCATTCCTCCAGAGAATCTCAAATCGAGAACTCGATCGGCTACTAAACAGGTTTAATGGATAACAAAATCTATTTCGATTACTTGTTGTAATCTCATCTTGATATCTTATCAAAGCGACAAGATCACATACACAACATAATCACTTTATTTCATATCAGCACACCCCAAAGTATTTGAGGCGAATGTTCGTGTGAGTGAACCAATCTCAACATGTTTGACATACTTTATATGTGCATGCAAAATATTATCTCGTAATCTCAACAATAGATTACACATGAACTCATAATTGTTTATCTATGGGTACAAAAAAATCAATCAAGAGTTTTCTAATACACTAAATATCATATTCTACGTAATTTTAGATATTCGACATTACCGACAAGTACATCTCTAAACATCTTTAGAGTATGATGATTACAAACCATCATTTACGTAGATATATTGCAAAGACACTTTCTTTGCTAATGTCCCTTACAGAAACACTATCGAGTGTTTGGTTCTATCATGATATTTGAGATCCTTATCACATGAGATAATTGCATAACTATCATGGATCTCATATTCACAATTAGTATCATTAGATGCTCAATACATCTATATCAAACAATTTCTTGAGCTGTCAAGTTATATACTACAAGATATGCTTCTTGCTATTCTATGTAGTAAGATTACATAAGTCTAATAACTATTTGTGCTTGATTAACGATAATCTTTAGTCGATATTTGGATATATATTTCAATCACGAGTTATTCAATTTACAACAAATAGAATAACTGACAGCAACACTCTTCAGGTATCACAATATCCTTTCTAATGACAATATCAATACCATCTGACTAGATCCATGGCACATCAATATTAGGGCAAGTACACATTATAGCATACTTGTAACTCCTAATCGTACTAGATATGGTTCTTTGGATATTTCTTTGTGCACTTATGGAGTCCTGGGACATACATGAAGACTCATATGATCACCTTTCGACATAGAAACATCAACAAGGTAGCAAATTCCACAGTTAAAAAAAAATTCCAGAATCTTTATGGTATATAACTCTTGATACAGAGAAACAAAACTAGAATAATTTTTTTAACACAAAATATACAATTTACTAAACCCATGTCATTCGTCTCAAAAACTAAGGACAACCATTTCAAAATGGTCTCAATACACTCATTCTCATGTTTAAAATATATAGTGTCATCAAAACATCAACATCAAACTCAAAATTAGAATTACAACCTATTATTAGATTTTTACATAAATACAGTAAACTTCATCCACATGATGAAATTTTGTACGAGATTTAAACCTTGTTAAAACTCAGGTACAAGTACTAAGATAACTGTATTAGGCAAGTATAACTATACAGTTACCACAATACTATAAAAGCCTTCAACATGAAACCAACAAATTGATTCATGTAGATCTCTTCAATCAATTCTTAGTTGAGAATGAAAATACAGTTTATAAGTCTATTTGGTGTAATCTACACTTAAACACACTATCTGGCTAGTATCAGCGTATAGAAGTGAATCTTACTGCTAAGAAAAAGGCTTATCAAACTCAATATACTCATATTGAGTATACCTTTCCCTAAAAAAATGAGCTTTATCTATCATAAACTTATTAGTTTTCTACTAAGTTTTTAAAAACTCGAATATTCTCAATAAACATAATGTCCAATTGGAACTTTCACCACATCTCAAATTAAATTAGAATTATGTACTCCATATATACTTTCATCACTTTCCTCAAACCACTGGTTTTCTAAACCATGAATCATTAAAATTGAATAACTTTTAGCTCTCACTCAGAACCAAGAACCATTGAAATTGAATAATTCTTTGATATCTTCTACTCGAATAGATAGCTCTCACCCGGAAACAAATTACTCTCACTTGAATCTGAAGTTTAAATCAACTCTTACGTATCCAAAAAATTAATTCATCAATATACATAATATCAATTTTAATAATATTCTCCAAAATTCTTTCTTATACTAAGAAAGAAATGTCAAATGTCACATATTGTGACCCAATATCCATTCAAAATCTCATAAGTACCTTTTTGGACTGTTATGTGTATCTCAGAGATTCATCTCATTCTTAATAGACTCATATTCCCAAACTCATTATCAAGAACTTNTACTCCATATATACTTTCATCACTTTCCTCAAACCACTGGTTTTCTAAACCATGAATCATTAAAATTGAATAACTTTTAGCTCTCACTCAGAACCAAGAACCATTGAAATTGAATAATTCTTTGATATCTTCTACTCGAATAGATAGCTCTCACCCGGAAACAAATTACTCCCACTTGAATCTGAAGTTTAAATCAACTCTTACGTATCCAAAAAATTAATTCATCAATATACATAATATCAATTTTAATAATATTCTCCAAAATTCTTTCTTATACTAAGAAAGAAATGTCAAATGTCACATATTGTGACCCAATATCCATTCAAAATCTCATAAGTACCTTTTTGGACTGTTATGTGTATCTCAGAGATTCATCTCATTCTTAATAGACTCATATTCCCAAACTTATTATCAAGAACTTACATAATCGATTATGAGTTTAAGACAACCCAAATTTGGTTGCCCTCATGTCCAAAGCTTATACAATTCTGAAGGTATTAAAGTAGAGAGAACTCCGTTAACTAATACATTGTAGTTAACCAACACTCTTTCCAAAAGCAAGTACTTAAATTGGACTACATATCTAAAATATCATCATATTCAATAATATAATTATTGGTGATTAAGGAATAGTCAATCAAATAAGAATCTACTTCATTACATAGATCACCAATATTTCGTGATAGAGATTCACGCTTTTAAATAGTTCTCAAAGTTTTCACTTCCATAATTTGATT